AAAAAATCCTGGGAGAAGGTTGGGAAAAGCAAGAGGGGAAATCATTTTAATTTTTTTTTTAAAGGGACAATGCTCAAGTGTCTTCCAGATGGAATTGAATTATTTTCTTTGTCTGAGGTTTTGGAGGGGGAAAATCCTCTAACAGGCTTGACCTGTTTCACTTTAAGAAGCACATGTGTGGATCTCAATAGGGTACCATGTGTATTATGACAGCCTAGCAGGCCCCAAAATAGTGTGTACCCAAAGCTCAGCCAAGGATTTCCAGACACGCCACCCATTCCCCACTCTTCCTGCCCTACCTCCATCCAACCTTCTTTGTATCTCTCTGGATGGATTCCCATTCCATGTGTCTAAATGCCTTCTACTTTCTGGGAGAGGGTAGCAGTTGGGGAACTGAGGCCCTAGATGTGTTTGCTGATTCTAGAGGCAGATGAGGAGGGTATTCATGTAAGTACCCAGACTGGACTAAGCTCCCAAGAAGCACACCTCTTGAAGGTCCCTCTGTGAATGCCAAGCCTTGGTCTGGGGTGGGCCCAGGAAGGTTTCACTGTAACTAATGGTTCTCATAGAACACTATCTTTGCAGCCAGCAAGAACTCAAACTCACAGCCAAATTTACTGCCAGCCACACGAAAGCCTCCATTTTACTTTACCCACATCCTCTTGAAATCTCAACCAACTCTTTGTGTGCTTCTCCTAGAAATAAGGTCACAGTGGGGATGGGTGAGGGGGAGTTAAAAACAACCTAAAGAGCATGCTCTGCCATCTTTCTAGGCTAAAGACAGCAAACAGTATTAGAGTTTTCCCAATTCATTCTCACATCATCTTTGATAATAAAGATATCTGCATACTCCCATTTAGCAAATAGACATCTGGGTATACAGAGGGTAAAATGATACAGCAATAGCAATACCCATTAAGTGGAGGAAGTGAAGTTTCCTTCTCCTCCAGGCTACTCCCCCATCCCACCCTACCTTGTTCCACGGTGATAACTAGCCCCCCCCCCCCCACCCGCTTGCTTCACCATGCCAGATGGAGACTGCCACCAAAAATGGGCCAGGAACATGGCAAATATGTAGGAGGAGTCTGTCTTCTCCTCCCCAAATTTCCTCCTTCTCCTGCATCCCCACTGGTCTCCACTCCTTTTCTTCACCTTTCACTCACCTCAGGGCACATTTGCAAGAACTCAGAATCAGTATAGGAACCTCAAGTTACAGCTCAGTAACTCTCTCTCTCTCTCTGTGTCTCTGTCCATCTGTCCATCTGTCTGTCTATCTGTATGTCTGTCTCTTTCTCTCCTACACACACATGCACACACACCCCACAGGAGGATACAATTGAATTTCTGAGGCCTCTGAGAGGTCCTGTTTGATGCAGAATTACTGCTGCCAGAAACTTGGAAGGGTCACCCATCCCCAAAGAAGATCTTTTCCAGTGCAGGGAGCCAACTTCATGGATGGCTGTTTATACTGTAGATGGGACCCCAAATAGCAAAACAGATAAATATGATTAGAAGAGAATTTCCACTTTATCTAAACAGGCCTCCTGGGCCAAGGAGGTAGTAGAAGATGCTAACCAAAGGAATTAATAACACCAAGGTCATGGGCCTAAGGCCCTTGTGGGTTATGTTTCTTTGGAAACATCACAATGTATGGTGAAATCATAAACCATCCCTTAACACTTGGGATAATCAGTAAAAGGTGTTTTGTTTTGTTTTGTTTTTTTTTAACATTTCTTCTTTTTTTCTCACTTGATTGTCAGAAGACTACACCAGTCTCCTAAAACGTGGGCAGTTGAATTCCCACATTCAAGAAAATCACAACAGTCAGTAGGAACTGACCATTTTCCAACCTGATCATGACAAATATGAGATAGACTTTCACACTCAATGTGATCTTTTCCCACTAATCACCCTTTCTCAAATCCCACCACTCCCTAGATGTCTCCACAAGCTATCTCTAAGCATGTACGCCACACCAGACCCATTTTTTTTCCCCGTGACATAAAAGGAGGTTCTCCAGCATTTCTCACCATGGGTCTTGGACCTTACCCCTCTCTCTGCCTGACCTGAAATGATCACAGTGGTTTGGAGGCACTAAAACCATCCTCTCCTACTTCCTGAGCCCAGACTTCAGCAGGGAGTGTCTGCAATCTGGTCCTCACCTACTACGGAGCCACAGGCTGGCACGGAAAGTCACCTGGGAAGCTGTCAAGACTAGGTACGTCCCTGAATGGTACTGCCCCATGCCCCTTCACAAACTGCAATACTACCAGAAGAATCAAGAAACTCTCCAAGTAGTAGAAAATATGATAAACTTAGAGCCTACCACTGACTCACTGTATGGCAGACCTAGGCAAGCCATTCAGTGAATCACAGCCTCAGTTTTTCCATCAGTTTCTCCACAACCTTCCCTTGACTGCCTCACAGGGTGGCGGGAAGAGGCTAATGAAACAAGGGATATTGAAACACAGTATAAACAGTAACACTGTATGCAAATGGAACAAAGCCTCTTCTTCAGTCCACAACCCTTGAGAAAAGGGCCAAAGCTAGCAGAAAGGGTTGCCTACCAGATTGTCATAGTCTTATTCAAAGCCCCCCCCCCCAACTTGAACCTCGTTATACACATGGGGACACCTAAGCCCAGCGTGGCAGGGGGGCGGGCAGGGAAGTGATGAACTCAGGACCCCAAAGCAAATAAGCAGGAGAGTAAGGATTAGAACCCAAGTTTTCAATCTGCCAATACAATTCTCTTTCTACTACCTTCCATCTCATCCACACCAGTGTGTGCAGGCTTAGGCTATTTTCGAGAAGAAAGCTGTATTGTTCTGAAACATAAGGGGAAACAAAAATAAGTTAGAAAAATGAAAAGGGGACTAATGAACTATGCCACAGAGTGTCTTGGTAAGAAAAAAAATACCACTGAACTTAAATACCATGCTTTTACTGTAAGGTGCCAGGCTATGTGGGAGAGATGGGAGAAATGATTCTACCCTCTGCATACCCAAATGTGTGTAATAATGAGCTTTCATATAATAGGGGTCAACTGTACATTCAGTGGAAAGGGAATCATTAAAAGGCACCCTGCCTCTCAACACACGAGTCACTTCCTCAACCGCTTGGCCAAGGAAACCCTCATCTACCCTCAAATAATCCCCCAGCCAGACCACAAATTGCTGGCTGCCCCATACTTAGTAACACCCCCTGCTATGCTCAGCACTGGCACACAAAACAATCCAGGGAGGGCCACAGCAATAAGCACTCTCTGGAGCACTTCTCAGGATGGGTCAGCCCTGGGCAGAGGTGAAAACATGATCTCTCCAAGATAGGCTGTTTAGGCAGACTGTGGAAATTCTGTGGGTGGTGTAAGGAGAAAAAGAAAGGGAGGAACTGCCAGACCCTGGAGGGCTGCATAGCCAATTCGGACCTTGGTGGAAAAGGGGAAGACAGGAGTCTGATTAGAAGAAATTCCTGAAGGTCAGGATTCCCCTCCCCAAAATTGTTGTCTGAGAGTGTTGTTTCATTTTGTTTTGTTTGTTTTTTTTTTTTCAAAGAAAGCTTATTACTCCCTCAGAAAATATTGGAGGGAGAGTACCTTAAGAGGGGGAGGGACAGTGGGTGACAAAGGCATCTCAGGCTGGTTAGAAATACATGACTAGTATGGGGAAGAGAGAGCTGGGTGACGATATGGGCCCCAAGGCCTGAAGGACCTCTACACTACAAGCTGACCAGCAGGTCCAATGCGAGGGGAAAAGCAGCACTGGTTCCTGGGGGGGGGGGGGGGGGGGGGGGGGGGGGGGGGGGGGGGGCGTGGCAGGACACTAGCCACCCCCTGTTGAGACGTGACCTTCCCTTACAAAGCCAAAACTTAGTGACATTTGTGCCCTGCTGAGAAGCCACACCTTTCTATCTCCAGCCCAAACCCACATCCACAACCCCAACTGCAATCTGCGTGGGCTGGCAGGGGAAGAGCTTCTCAAGATGCGAACGTTTACGAGAAACAAAACAAAACAAAAAATGGGATAAAGTTCGTGAAGTCCGTTCACTTGGCAATCTGGCGCCACAAGGTGAGTGGCCCCACAAATCTTTCTTCCCAGGAACGGCCCCCGCAGCCCCCACACCCCCTCACCCCTGCTGACGATGGCTCGTCTGGGGAGTTCTGGAGCACTCAGGAGAGCTCCTCTCCCCTGCCCTTGGCTGCAACTTGGCTTCCAGCGGATCACAGCCTCCTAAAACAAACAAACCCTGGCGGCGGCGGCGGCGGCGGTGGCGGTGGCGGTGGCGGTGGCGGCGGCGGCGGCGGCGGCGGCAGCAGCGGCGGCAGCAGCAGCAGCAGCAGCTCCAGCACAGCTGCGCTCCATGGCGCAAAAGTTTCCTCCACACTTCTCAACGTGCAGGAAGTCTCGCCGGCGCTGGGGCAGGACTCCGGAGGGAGGGAAAGGCCGGGCCGAAGCCGCAGGAGCAACGCCTCGCCAGCTGAATGGATGTGCGCGCCTCCGGCCGTGGGAAGTGAGTCCGACGAAAGCCACCAGGGCCCCATCTCCGTTCCCACACCAGACCCTTGACCTGCAACCTGCCCTGGTGGGACGACCCCGCTTCCAAGAGAGCTACCAAGCGGCGCTGCCTGTCCCGCAGGGGCGCGAGAACTTCCAAGGAGAAACCTCCAACAGCCACCACTTCCTCCAGCTCAAACTGAGGGGAGCAGCCGCCCCGACGTGGGGGAGCAAAAACTGTCCCCAGAGCCTCCCGAGTGTGCGCGCACTGGGCTCTCGCCCCAGGGCCAGGCGTGCTCGCGTCTAGTGCTCCAGCCACCGTCAAGGGTGTCTGTGACTGGCCTTGGTGGCAAGACTCCTGCGGGCAGCTAAATGCTCCACAGGAGGGCTTTCACGCCCAGCTCCGACCAAGTTTCAGAGTTGGTCTGAGGGCCGCGTCCCCCGGCAGCCTGCGCACCCGCTTGCCCATTCAAAGTTGGGCACTGCTGGGACACAGGCGCCAGGTCTTACCTTAGACACTGTGAGCGGTTCGCAGTGTTCCAGACCACCCTTCAGGGTGAAGCCCCAGGGCGCCCCCCCTTGCAGCTGCACGGGGACGTACTGGAAGGACCCAGGCCGGCTCTCCATCCTCCGCTCCTCTCAGGCGACGCAGAGCTCCTTTTCCTCGGGGGCTACGTTGCCTCCGCCCCCAGCAGCTCCGCCACCATAGCCCTCCAGTGCTACGCCACCCCGCACCGCCCTGCTCCGCCTACTCTCCCGGCAGGAGAAGCTCGGGCAGCGGGCGAGCCTAGCTCGAGGAGGAAATGACACAGAGCTGGAGAAAGGGGGAGGGGGGGAAGGAGAAGGGGAAAAAAAAGAAAAGAAAAGAAAGAAGGAGAGGCGGAGGGATAACGCGTAATGGACAAGAAAACGGAGCAATGGGGAGGGGCAGTCAGTGGGACCTCGCCTATAGGATCGCTGGGGAGCTGGAGCCAGGCGAGGCCTTACATCAATTGTTACATTGTTTCATTCAAGCTCCCCCCCCCCCCCCCCCCCCCCCCCCCCCCCCCCCCCCCGCCTTTGGTCCTCCTCCTTACGGCCGGGTTCCCCGCCCCTCGGGCCAGCCAAAGCTAGGGGAGGTGAAAGTCATTAGTGTGGATAGCCCTTGTGGCCCAGTGGGCTGAAACTCTGGCTTCCCGATTAGTGCGTTCATGTTTCTCTGACTACCTTTTTCTTCTGAGGGTCCCCAAACCGGGTCCTGGGAGGGTTACAAGGCTGCTCATTTGTGGACCTTGCCTAGAGGGATAGAAAGTAAAGCAAGCAGGCCAGCGAACACAGTGCGACTGTGCGTGTAGGCTGCTGTGTGTGTATGCACTAGGTGTGTGGGGTCATTTTGAAACATTGCCCCGGAGCATAGTTTAAATAAAGAAGCACTTTGAGGATGCCCCCTGCCCGGGCTTAGCCACACCCTGGCTCAGCGCTGGCCTCTATGGGTAGCACTGTGCTTGTGTATGTTGCAGTCATCTGGAGTTCCTGGCACGGCCTTGCACTTGCTCCCACTGAGATGACCAAGCCAGGAATCACTAAACTGCTAGCAGACTACTACTATCGTTTCCACTCCTAAACAAACCTACAGGAAAGAGCATCCATTGATAAGCTGGCCAATTAACAATGTGCCTTTTGGAAGAATCAGCTTTTAGACAGGGTCCAGAATATTTCTGCTCATCTATACATACTTGAGGCTGTAGTTTCTAAGCTGGGCTTTTAGAACAGACCAAACACACACACACACACACACACACACACACACACA